AAATAAAAAACAATGGGAACATTTAAATGTATCAAGAATAGTTATTTGGCCCAGTGTTTTTATTTATCTTTTGGGCCTACACAGTTTCTATTGGGCCTTAGTTATTTTTTGTATTAGGTATAAATAGCTCTTGTATGTTGTAAGTTAGGTTAACACATTGATTCTTCTCTCTTTTGATTCTTCCGCATCAATGTTCTGTAATTCATCTTGAAACCATCTTCATCAATCTTTTAGATTTCTTGTGCTCCATTGTTATTATGGTATCAGATTAGGTTTTGATCCTACATCGATTTTTTTCAACGTCAATCAATTTCGATTTCTATAATCGAATTCCTTTCTCTTTTCATCTTGAATTTACCCTAGAACCCTAATTTCTTCGCAAAACTTCATCGTGATGAATTTGAATCCCTTATTCCCTTTAAATCCTACTGAGGATCCCTCATCTCCATACTATCTGCATCCGAGTGATCATGCTGGCCTTCGTAGCATATCTGAGACGCTCAATGGTGAAAACTTCAATGTTTGGAAGAAATCCGTCACGATGGCTTTTAGCGTGAAGAACAAGATGTCGTTTCTTGATGGCTCCATTACTCAACCGGCTCTGGATGATGTTGTTGCTTACTCTGCCTGGTATCATATAAATGCTCTAATTCTTTCTTGGCTGATTTACTCAATTGCTCCTGAATTCGTTCTACTTTCTTATACTTTACCTCTGCTAAAGATCTTTGGGACGAAATTCATCTTAGATATGGTAAAAGTGATGGTCCTAGAGTTTTTTATCTTGAAAAACCCCTAGGTAATATTTCTCAGGGTACTCAAACTGTTACAGCCTACTATAACATGTTCAAAGGTCTTTGGGATGAGTATGCTAATTTTAAAACTCTTTCTTCTTGTTCTTGTGGTCTTTGCACCTGTAAAATCAGTGAAAAGTACCAAATGTTACTTCAAAAAGAATCTGTTCAAAAGTTTCTGGTTGGTTTAAATGATTCATATTCTAGTTTAAGGAACCAAACCCCTTTTTCTAGCCTATCTGCTGTTTACTCTTTCTTTCTACAAGAAGAGTCTCAGAGAACACTTCAACATCCTCTTCATTTTGTTTCTTTTCCTTCTGATGATCTTCCTACTGATTCTGCTGCCTTCTTAGTCAAAAATTCTACCTACAAAAAGAAATCCATCATCTGTAATCACTGTGACTATCAAGGACACTATGTTGACAAGTGCTTTCAAGTCATTGGCTACCCTCCTAACTGAAAAGGACCAAAAGGACAAAGAATTGCTCTTGGCTTCAAACTGCCTTCAAATTCTACAAAGAATATTTCTGCTCATCTAGCCAATACCTCTACTGAAACCTCTTCTACTGACTTGGACTTATGTGATCCTACTCTCTACAACAAATTCTTGAATTCATGAAACTTCAGAATGATCAAACTGCTTCTGCTAATGTTGTTATGGCTGTCTCTCCTCATGATCAGTCTGCTAATGCTTCTTCTTTTTTAGGTAATCATTCTGTTTTCTTATCTAATGTTAATTCTTCTATTTGGATCCTGGACACTGGTGCTTCTGATCACATGACACACAATTTCAATTTATATATATACTTCCTCACCTAAACCTATCTCTACTAATATTCAATTATCTATTGGTTCTTTCATAACTACTACTCATATAGGTGATATTAAAATTAATAATAACTTTACTCTTCATAATAATGTTTTATATGTTCCTGAATTTAGTTTTAATCTTATATCTATTTCTAGTCTTGTTTTACATGAGAATATTTTAGTTCACTGTACTTCTAACCATGCTACTTCGCAGGATCTGCTCACCAACCAAATGATTGGCTATGCTGATCTTCAATGTGGACTTTATCTCTACAATGCTTCTAAACCTTTTGTTTCAAATAATACATTGTCTGTTGCTAATACCGTTAATACTCAATCTTTAGATAATAAATCTGATATTTGACACTATAGACTAGATCATTTACCTTTCCACAAACTGAAATCTATTGTTGATTGTACAGTTCAACATCATATGAATAAAACTGTTTTTTTGTGAAATATGCCACTTTGCTAATAAAAAACGTTTACCTTTTCCTGATAGCACTTCTTATGCTTCTCATGCTTTTGATCTGGTTCATATGGATGTTTGGGGTCCCTTTAGAGTTCAATCTTATTCTGGTTTTAGATATTTTTAACTATTGTGGATGATCATACTAGATGTACTTGGTTTTTATGATGAAAACCAAATCTGAAGTTAAATTTCATATGATGAATTTTTATAATCTCATTAATACTCAATTCCATGCCAAAATTAAAATTATTAGAACTGATAATGGTTCTGCAATTTATATTACCAAACTTTTATAATACTCATGGTATTATTCATCAACTTTCTTGTGTGGAAACTCCTCAACAAAATGCTAGGGTTGAAAGTAAACATCAACATATTCTTGAGGTTGCTAGATCTCTATTTTTCAATCTTGTTTGCCTCTAATTTTTTTGTCTGATTGTATTCTCACTGATGTTCATATCATACACAGACTTCCTACCCCTATTCTTAATAATAAATCTCCTTATGAGCTTTTATATAATAAAGCCCCTTATTGTTCTCATTTAAGAGTTTTTGGTTCTCTTGCTTATGCTTCTACTTTAACTGCTGATAGATCAAAGTTTGACAAAAGAGTCGTAAAATGTGTTTTTATTGGTTATCCTTTTTGGTTCTAAAGGATATAAACTATATGATATTGCTAATCATAAATTTCTTGTATCCAGAAATGTTAAATTTTACGAAATGATTTTTCCTTACGAAAATAATTCTGATTTGTCTGATTCCACTCATTCTGATTCTACATCTTTTAATTTTTCTACTAATGATGATTCTTCATATGATTATAACATACATTCAAATAATTTTACAAACTATTTACAAAATCAAATTGATGATGAAATCAATCTTATGAATATGCATGATTCCTCTTATACAAATGATTCTAGTACTTTACAGACTACACTTTCTATTCCTGAAAATCAGTCTCACAGAAAATCAACAAGAGTAAGATCTTTACCTATTCATCTTCAAGACTATACTTATGAACTGCCTAATTCTATCACTACAGGTATTTCACCTTCTTCCTCTTCTTGTAATTTTGTTAGATATCCTATTCAAAACCATATAACCTACAATAGATTGAGTATTTCTCATTCTTGTTTTATTGCTGCTCTTTCCAAAATTACTGAACCTAAAACATATAAACAAGCTGCAAAATTACCTGAATGGCGGAATGTCATGCTAACTGAAATACAAGCTCTTGAGAAAAATAAAACCTGGATTTTAGTTAATCCTCCTTCTAATCAAAATATAATAGGCTGTAAATGGGTTTTCAAAACCAAACTTAAACTTGATGGTTCTTTAGACAGATATAAAGCAAGATTAATTGCCAAAGGTTACACTCAAGTTGTTAAATTAACTACTGTTAGAATCATTTTAGCTATTGCTAGTGCTAAAAATTGGTTCCTACATCAATTAGATATAAATGATGCCTTTTTACATGGAGATTTAAATGAGGATATTTTCATGCAGCCACCTCCAGGATATTTAGATCTTAATGATAACAGGGTATGTAAGCTTGTGAAAAGCCTTTATGGTCTCAAGCAGGCTTCTAGACAATGGTTCTGTAAGCTCTCTGATTCCATACAATTATTTGGCTATAAACAATCTCAAGCTGATTTTTCATTATTTACTATAACTGATAACACTTCTTTCACTACTCTTCTTATATATGTAGATGATATCATTCTTGCTGGAAATAGCATGAAAGAAATCACTGCAATAAAAACTTTCCTTAATGACAAATTTACTATTAAAGATATTGGTGAATTAAACTACATCTTAGGTATTGAAGTTGCTAGATCCGATAAAGGTTTAAATCTTTGTCAGAGAAAGTACTCTTGATATTCTTAATGAATATGGTTATTTACATTCTAAACCTTATACTACTCCAATGGACTCATAACTTAAATTTTCTAAAAAGGATGGTGCGGTTTTAACTAATCCTAAAACATATAGAGCTTTTAATTGGAAAACTGTTATACTTAACTGTTATCAGACCTGACATTGCTTACAATGTTCAGGTTCTTAGTCAATTTCTTTCTTCCCCAACTGACATTCATATGATTGCAGCTCATAGAATTTTAAGATATATCTTAAGAATTCCCCAAGTAAAGGCCTTTTCTATCCATCTATTTCTGATTTCTGTGTTCAAGGTTATATTGATTCTAACTGGACTGCATGTATAGATACTAGGAGAAGTGTTTCTGGTTATGCTTTTTATCTTGGTAATTCTTTAATTTCATGGAATTCTGAAAAAAAGGAGGTAAGTAGGTCTTCTACAAAAGTCGAGTATAGAGCTACTGCAAATGCAGTTTGTGAAGCTCAATGGTTATATTATATTCTTCAGGATTTGCATATACAGTTTTCTTTACTCATCATTCTTTACTGTTTACACTGATAATAAATCTACTTATCATTTAGCTCAATCCTATTCAACATCAAAGAACAAAACATATAGAGTTAGACTATCACTTAATTAGAGAAAATAAATTCTGGTTTAATATCTTTGGTCCATATTAAAAATAACTTTCAACTTGCAGATATCTATACTAAACCACTTGGGAATCCTTTATTCAACCAGTTTGCAATCAAGATGAACATGATGGACATTCATGCTCCTCTTGAGGGGTGTATCAAGAATAGTTATCTGGGCCAATGTTTTTATTTATCTTTTGGGCGGTTGGGCCTATGCAGTTTCTATTGGGGCTTAGTTATTTTTTGAATTAGGTATAAATAGCTCTTGTATGCTGTAAGTTAGGTTAACACATTGATTCTTCTCTCTTTTGATCTTCCGCATCAATGCTCTGTAATTCATCTTGAAACCATCTTCATCAATCTTTTAAATTTCTTGAGCTCCATTGTTATTAATATGTGTATTAGAGTAATAATTTATTTATTACTACGTGTATTTTATCCTTACACAAAGATTATCTTGATCCAACACAGCTTACAGCACGAATATGTTCACATATGAGCAACTTCTTGAACTTGGGATACATGAACATAACCCTCGAGTTAGACCATAACTCATTATTACCTAAAAGACTTGCCAGTTGCCACAGACCATTATATTTACAGAGGCAGCTTTTGCATATTTCCACAAGTTATTGTAATAGCACTGAAAAGTTCAAAGAGAACTACATTACATTTGTATATGATCCTCCCAACCTCTGAGATTGTGGCTTACTCCTGTTTGTATGAATTCAGATCAACATGTGTATCCATGTATCGTTGAAGTAGGTATGTTTCACATTTTATTGGAGGAAACCTGGCAACGGAACCCATTCAAATTGAAATTGTTAGATCAGGTTACAGTTAATTAAATTGTAATTCGTGAAACATTTTGCAGAAATATGCGGCCTATTGTGCCGCTATGTAATAATCTGAAATCTGAAGCAGTTGATGCATATTTCTTCTACTGCCTATAGAAATCCAGACAACATTTATGCATCCCAATCCTTGACGGTACTGAATATTGATCTACTTAGAGCCAATTTGAGGGGTGTTATATTGGCTGAATGTGCACAATTTACTGAATGAGTTACAAAGGGGCAGCCCAGTGCACAAAGGCATCCCGCAAGACGAAGGTCCGGGGAAGAGTCCCACCACAAGGGTGTATAAGTGTATAATGGGCAAGCCTTCCACTGTCAAATTACTGAATGAGTTGAATGGAATAAATTATAATACCTAAAATGTGACCGAAATGAGGATAAAGGATTTTAATATGACTTCGTCAATTTTAGTTAGACAGTGTTCAATTCTTATGTCACCATAGTAACTTTAATCACATTTTTGTCCATGATTTTTATTTTAGTACGTAGTAATATTTTACGAAAAAACTCAATAAATTATCTCAAATTTTACATAAAATGCATTCACTGTTAAATTAAAGAAATGATCTCTCAAATATGAGGGTAGAAGTGCAATTTGACTGTTTTTTCTAGTACTTTTAACAACAAAAAGCAATATAAATATCGACAATGATAATAATCACAATAACAATGGTAAAAAATATGATGATGGTAAAGAGAGACAAAAGTACAAACTTGGGAGGAATGTCATCTGATTGGCAAGTTGGCAGACATTCAACTATACAATCATGACTAGGCTCCAAGAAAAATGCAATCTGCTCATAGAAAGCAAAAGTGGGCATGAGCCCACCTGATATGAATTCATTGACCGTAAAAATATGACAGTTAAAAGCCTCTTCCAATAAAAACTCTACATCAGATGGAAGAGAAGTTCAAAATAAAACTGTTCCAAAGGTTTGTGAATCAATCAGGGAGCTATAATTCACTCACAAAGTAAAGGCTTGGGAAGATAAATGTAATTACTACTGTTAAAACAAGAGACATTAAGTGAAATAAAGCCACCACAGTAAAACAACTATTGAAGAACAACCAAACTAAACCAAAGACTTACTGAATATCTTTCTTGACCATTTCCCAATACGCGATGCAATGTTGATCTAGGAAGAAATAGTAAAGACAGAAGTAACCGAGTGTTGCAAGTAATAAAACCAGCAAACTAGACTTGTTTCTAAAAATACTACTTCATATATGTTTTCACACTACAAATGAGTTACAGTAACTAGATGATATAAATCTGAAGAATTTAATAAAACTACGGTTTACTGGAGCATGCATATACACATGCACAAACACATGGAAAACGGAGTTTATACAAAATGGGGTGCAAAATGTGCAATGACTACCTAAGTTTTATATATATGAACTTAAAGTTACCTGAATTTAAGGTTGCTCCACCGCTCCAGCATATCACCAAGGTTTACTATGAATCCACTGAAAGTTGAAAGAAAATTAAAAATGTAATAGTCTCTAAAACAGTCAATGGCTTTGTTTTGAAGAGGTTGAACATGTTATATCAAATGATGAAATGACATTTCAGAGGAAAATAACAAATTAGACTTGATTCATACTCCCTCCGTCCCATTTTAGTTAGCCAAACTTGACTTTTCATGTCAATGGCGTCTAACTTTGACCGATTATATGTCTATATAGAGAAAGTATTAATAATATGAAAATAATATGAAAATGTTCTTTGTTACAAATACTATCATAAAAGTATAAAATTATTAAATTTTGCATAAATATATTAGTTTAAATAATTGATCAAAGTTTACCACCTTTGACTGGAAAAGTCAAAGATGACTAAGTAAATTGGGACGGAGGTAGTATGTATTAACAAAAAGTCAAAAACATACAGCTTTTGGAAGAAAGCTGTGGGCATGTTCTTTTTTCTTTGGTGCTCATCATACAAAACACAAATAAAGACAGTTACATACCCTTTCAATGGCGCTACATACTCCCAAACCTGAGGATTAGCTTCCTTATCCCTGCAGATCTGAGAAAGAATAAAGGGTATGGTAACAGTGCAAAACGCCACTCAAATAAGTCGCAGAACACATCCCGCTAGCCTAGTTTGAGCACAAAAATACATTTGAACTATGTCTAGGTATACATACCCTAATATAATTTTGGATGCTCCCTCTGTCCCACTTTAAAAGGACGCATTTGGCGTTCATGGTCAAAGATGTTGAACCTTGAGATATGTTCTTAAATGATACTCCTTCCGTCCCCCTGTCTTTGTCCCAATTTACCCTTTTTGTCCGTCCCACTAAGTCTGTCTCATACCATATTTGTTAATATTTTGATGGTTGCAATTCATTCATACTTTATTCACGCTTTACCGGTTTAATATAAACCACACAATTCCAATTTTCTTAATAACTGCATCACCAACTCTTCTCCCAATCTAAGAGGGCGAAGCTAGTATATTTTAGTAAAATTTGTGTATTTATTACTTTATTATGAGAGTAGTCTTGACAAAAACACATTTTTATATTACTTTCATATAATCAATCATATTGCGTAAAGATTTATTATTGGCCAAATTGGAAAATCCTTGACCATAAAGAGTCTAATGTAGCACATTATGGGGATGGAGAGAGTATCTTTTTTGCCCGATTTTACTCAAATATATAAACTTAAGATACGCTGTTTCACGGGTAAGGCACAAATATAGCCCAGTAACTGATTGGACCTGACATGATCTTATTAGTTATTACACCATGCATTTGGGAGCGACACACTTATATGATAATAAAATGGTGTAGTTAAGGTTTATTTAAAACAGAAAAGATACAATGTCAACCATGCAAATCTGTCCTTCAAAGGAAAGTGAAGTTTATTGTTAGACACACAAAAAAGGAGATTTGGCAAAGTTATAGAGAGAGTAATAGAGTTTACTATTTATTGTTAGACACCAAAAAAGAAAATTATAAAGTTTAGTATGGAATGGAGGAAGGTATATTTTTTAATCCCGAGAGTTTTCTCATCAAATTTAATGAAAGGAACCGTGCTACTTCTAATGCTCTGTTAATAGAGCGCTAGAAAATCAATAAAGTAGATTTTATAAAATAATTGACCCAAAACTAGTTTAAGGGAATATGTGAATCCCTGAACTGCTTGAGGGAATAGGGATTTTTAGAACATTTCCTTTAAGAAAAAATGTACCTGAAATTAAACTAGGGTTATATATGCTCTCACCCACATATGGTTCATATGTACTTTTGTGTCTTAAATTAGATTAAGGGTTGATTACACTATGTCATTTACACCATGTGTCTCTGCACCTTGCCTCAAAGATAGATTACATATCATTTCACTTAATAGAAGTAAATAAATTGTAATTAAAAAATATGGTTACACTATTTTACTTGCCTGAAGGCCGTAATTGTCATCGGTTGCTAAGAGCGTGATAAAACCAAAATCACTGTGTGCACCAGCTCCGAAAATTCCCTTAGCGGGATCAGAACATTTACCTGACGTATTTCCACATGCACACATCATCAACCATACAGAACAAACATAATTGAATTACAGATGTATTTGTCAACCTTCATAATGTAACAGGCGTAGAGTGGCTATAGGATTGCCAAGATATTCGGGCCGCTGGAAAAAATCAACATCCATGTCCAGTGCAAGAGCTATGATCCTTGCTATTTCTTTTGCCACCTTACTAAATTAAAGAAAGTGTACACAATGTATTGTTAAAACAAGATGTCATTTATACAAAAATGTATACACAACTTGATCTTTCCATCTGGATTGAGAAATCGAAGCATGGTACATATATCAGAACTTACAATGCCTGTTGGTGATACTTCTCCATAGCTTCTCTCCATCCAGGCAAGATATCTTGCAAACAATGAGTCAAGTTAAATATGACTAAATTATCTTTCAAACAGTCCATTAACTTTATATTACAGAATAAGTTCCTAAGGAGAAAATGGCATATAAGACCAAAAACTACCTTCAGTTGGCCACTTGTTTGGCCCATAGAATGATCTTTCTGCTTCTGGATGATCTTCTGGCAGTTCAATACCTATATAATATCCCTCTTTGTAATCCCCTGAGACCAAATTAAATACAAACTTCAACACATAGCTAGTTCTATGAAACCTTCAAGGACAATAGAAAGAAAACTTGGGGGTGAAATAATAAACACTTAATAGGAGAACAAAATGACATTTTTTGGGTGTGTCAAGATGCATCCCATATCCCCATTACTATTTGTGGTGAAAACTGTCATAGCAGCTGATGGAGAACTTGACCAATTTAAGACGCTATGTTCAACGGATGATGTGATACAGTCATACAGACTGTACAGTTTTCAGTGTGCAAGTGTTTAAAGCTTTAGTTAAGAATAACAGATTGCAACTGAGAACACAGGAGCGACCAACAGTAACAATATCAAGTAGTTTGTTACACAACTTGTATGCAACACGAACCAAGAGCAGAGGATTCCTACGCATAAAAGGACCTCCCTGAGTCCCTGGGTTAAAAAATCACAGAAAAGTCTAGAGTAGTAGATTACATCATTTCAGCCTGCTCTTCACTATGGTAGTGAACAAAATATAGTTGTCATGGCGCATGGCGATCACCATGGCTCAAAGGCATTTTTCGTGGCACATGGCGATGGCTCATATACGAATGGCGCATATGGCACTATGGCGACAACCACTTTTTCATGGCGATGGCGCATATGGCGTGCACCATATCTAGCCATTGACTACTATGAACAAATATTTATAGTTTGAGAGTTCAAGCAGCCAACACAATTAGTTTGTCATCTTGTGGGCAGATCTGCGTGTCTGGTTGGACGCCCCCTAACCAAACCATTGGACTGGTCTTGAGGATGGGGTCTGAGCCCAAGCATGTGGGTGGTTAAAACCAAACCATTTAACACATATATACATCTTAAACATAATCAGTTTATGAATCACAGCAAGTGGGTGATTCACAATATTCCATTCATCTATAAACATGTTTATTGATACAAACAAATAGCAGATAAGCTTCTGATGCAATGAGCACCATTCATGTCCACAAATTGAGGGATGATATATCATTTCTCGTAACTCATTTTGTCAAAATTAACATCATTTTGTGATTTGTAATATTTGCAGATTGTATGTGTGGATATGTTTCTTTTACAAATTATAATTGTAATCCTATATTGAAGGAACATATTGTTATAGCAAGACATTTTGTAGTTGAATAACATATATACTTGGAAGTTTTCTCCCATCCAACTCATTTTCCTCTTTCCGGTCTGAATCTGTGGTCTACCAAAGTACCACCACAGACATGAGCAAATCATTGTCTACAATCGGCCAGGAGCCCGTAAATAAATTCATCTTAACAAGTAAAACTATCAGCTTCGTTATACAAATACAAATAATAATAATAAATTCAGTATACGCAATCCATTGCACCAACATCCAGTGGTCCAAGTCAAAGGGACTTGGTTTCTGTTGCACAAGGTGTTCAATTCAAATTTTTGGATACCATAAATGTAGTAACATGTAGGGAGGGTTAAATTGAGATACAATTTCAACTCAACTCTAAGCTAGTTAAATAATAAAGTGATAACACCCCCCCCCCCCCCCCCCCCAGGTCATGGACTCATTGGTAGATATAAAATACATAACAAAACAGAAATTTATTGTTCATCGGATGGAAGAAATACAAACCGTGAGCTTGATTTACTGGGTCCAAGTGTTCGTCCAGCATAGGAGTGTAACCTCGATGTTTCTCGTTCCTAAGGAGCTTCATTTTCTCCGGCAATGGCAACTCAAAAAACTGTCTGCTTTGCTCAAAGACTTCATCCATGAACTCCTGGCTGATTCCGTGATTTATCAAATAGAAAAATCCAGACTCTATGCAGGCCTAGTGAATCAATACAAATACAAGCAAATTCAACGACTTTAAAATAGACAAGTAGTATAGTCGAAAACATACATTTAAACCCTGAAGGAATCATCTAGTTGATACCGTACTAAAATCATGACTTTTAAATTTATGCCTCTTTCATAACGTTCATGCACATATAGATTTCCTAACCGCATGCTCACATTCAGATGGAGATAGAGATAGAGAGAGTGCCTGTTTAAGGAGAGAAGCAGAGGTTTTAATGTCAGGGATGGAAAGGTCAATGCAGTTCAAAGAAGAGACTTTTGCAGTCGACGGAAGAACTTCGCACGAATTCATCTTCTCGAAAACTGATAGAAGGTGGAATAACTTGTCTATTCTTAGGCTTGCTTCGTTCTAATACAATACCTCCTTTTATAACCTTATGACATGATTATTCCTATGAATAGGCATATAATTTAAGGAATATGATCTATCCAGACTTGATTCCATTCCTTAAGCTGATTGCAATGGAGGGGTGAAAACCCCAATTTGAGGTTTTCGTCCCAAAAACTGCTGCAACTCAAACATGTTTTGTACATAGAAGCCTCATAGCTAATAGGGGAAATTGAGTTCACCTCATCTCCATTTCTTTCTCTCTGTTTCCTCTTCATTTCCTTTTTAGTTCCTATCTATCTCTCCAAATTATACCGTACATCCGGATGTACGGTCTTCACCGTACATCCGGGTATTTTTAAAATTATTATCAACTTCTCCTAGTCCATCGTCCGCATCTACGCTGCCCAGATTCCTTCTCCCAGGTTGTTCCTCCGTTGGAGATTAGTTGCAGACTCTCTCCTCTGCACAACTCTCCACCACACAATATCCACTATCTTAAATTTTGTGTCAAACACATTTGGAAGTTAAAATGGGAACGGAGGTAGTAATTATTTAAAATACCACATCCATTGAATTGGATCCACTTCTAGTGGTTGCATTTGCTTTTCGCAAACTCCCCTTCCATAGAGAACACTGATGATTGGTAACTTGAAACCTGATTCGTGATAATAGGGACCTCCAGAGCTGCCAGCTCGTGACATGCTTAAGAAGTGGGATCCACCATCACCTCAATTTGCTAATTTAATTAGGTTGTGAACATGTTAGATATGCTCAATTGACATTGATGTTTTGTTTTTTTATACCTCATTGTGTAAGTTATGTATGCTCATTTAATATTCATTTATTATGCTCATTTTAAAATGTCATATCAATACACAAATGAAATGAGTTTTTTGTTAAATTCAACCTTTTTCTCTATCCTATTAATCAACCTACCTCACCCTTATCTCTCCTAATGGAACTCTCCCGCTACAAGAGAGGATCCAAATTACGGAAACCGAGGGGAGGGATTTATGGACGGTGCATTGACTCTTCTGTTGGAGCTGACATGCGCAGGTGGCTATCATTCCAGCGAGTCGGCTGAAATCTGCGGGAGGAAAGGTATGATCCATGTTTGTGCGGCTAGTGGAGAAAAAAAGCTTTCAACTTGGCTGAAGCTTGGGAATAATTCCAAACAAATTAGTAGGTAGATCTGACGGTCATAATTGATTTAGACGCAAAAAAAATAGGTACATCCAACGGCTGAAAATTAGATTTCTATATAAACACTACTCTTACCTTAATTTCAATACACCTCAATTATCATTCTCCCTCTACTTTATATTTTATTTTTAGCAATTTTGAATACTACTTAATAACATGTCTACACACAAGAGAGGTGTTGATTGGCGTTACAATGAAGACATATTCTTGTGTAACTCTTGGGTGTCTATTTATGAAGATGGTGCAGTCGGAAATATCAATCAAACTGGCGATTCTTTCTGGTTTCGAGTTCACATGTTCTTTTGTCAAAAAGCAAATGCGATAGTTCGGACTGAGGAGGCCGTTGAATCAGGTTTCAAGTTACCAATCATCAGTGTTCTCTATGGAAGGGGAGTTTGCGAAAAGCAAATGCAACCACTAGAAGTGGATCCAATTCAATGGATGTGGTATTTTAAATAATTACTACCTCCGTTCCCATTTTAACTTCCAAATGTGTTTGACACAAAATTTAAGATAGTGGATATTGTGTGGTGGAGAGTTGTGCAGAGGAGAGAGAAATGTGTAAGAAATGTTGTGAACCACAAATTCTTTACTAAAAAGGAAAAGTGGAAGTTTTAATTGGAACGGACGAACAAGGAAAGTTGGAAGTTTATTTAGGAACGGAGGGAGTATAATTTTAATTTTATGTATAATTTTATTCAAGTGGATCCATTATTTCTATTTTAGATACTTTTATAATTATGTATATTACTTAATAGTTAATATTATATATATATATATATATATATATATATATATATATATATATTACGTATTCTATTTTATGTACATTTTAATTTGTAATATATATTAATATTATACATAAATATATATTATACATAATTTACGTAATAATATATAGTATATAGTATATGTAACATGCTTCTAACAGTAAGAATTTACAAGAATAATATGTACAATGATGATACAACAAGAACAACTACCCCTGTAAATGAATATTAACAACTAAGTAATCACAAAAGTGTAAATGAAGCTCACTTAAGGTGAATGACACTCTCTAAACTCATTAAAATTTTATGCAAGTTCATTTTAGGGTGGATGGATAGTGTTTGGCTTTTAGGCTAAGGGTCACATATAACAGGTGTTGGGATATTGATCCAGAGGCCCAATACCCGGATCAAGAAGGCCCAAGATACCCGGCCCAAGCAACGGGCCCATCACTCTATGATGAGTAGATCCAGTGAAGAATTCATGCCGAACGAGATTCGGCCCAAATAAGGGTTGGCCCAGTAAGAAGACATACCGAACGGAGTTCGGGCTATATATCATACTTGGGCCAATTTGACAGCGTCTTCAGCATAGTCCAAACATCCCGTTCGAGCAACGGACAACCGGCAAGTGGCCAGGTGCAATTAATGCCAGATTGTGACATCAGCAAGTGGAAACATGGGTGACCAAGTCGGTGGAACAACAGCCAATCAGCATAGGGCAGCCCATGCTCTCCATTAGTATAAATAGAAGGTTAAAAATCATTGTAAGAGTTAGCATTTCAATACTCAGGCTCTAGAATAGCATCATTGCTCTTATTTCTTGTATTAAAGCAGTGTTTCCGACCTACTGATCGGGAATTTCCTTGTAATCAGACTGGTTAATTAATACAAGTGAGCTTTCGAGTATTAGTGAGTTCATATTTTATATTTTGGTTATACACTTTGATTCTGTACCATTCCTGATATATCCAAAGTTCGTGTTGGGCTTTCGGATCTACGGGATTTACCTTCAACAACAGGTTTTCATGAAAGAAAATAACAAAAATAAGGTTAAGCGTATAACGCTTATTAAAAAAATGGCTCAAAGGGGTGAACAAGGGATATTTATCACATGGGTAAGGCTAGGTATATGGGGTTTATGAAAAATGGCCTATATCATTTCCTAATGTGCTAAGCCAGAAAATCATGTCAAGGAAAATAAAAGCACATAGCACTCTTGTTTTGCACAATCTTAAACATATTGAACAACAATTTCACTACATAACCATTTGCGTGCATGAGATGTATTGTGCCTGTACAAAGTTTAAAATTTGACCAAAATTTTACTTAACGCTCAAAATTATGATTCTCAATCCAATTATTAAGAGACAAGTCCCGCCAAAAATCCACATACCATGTGAAAGAATAGAATGCATGATTTGAAAATTAAACAGATAATAAGGCAATTCACAAGCAAACAAACAAATATGCGTATTCTCCCCCCACACTTAGGATGAAACATCATCCTCGATGTGACAAATATATACAGGGCGGGTGAGTAAATGGGTGGGAAAATAAAATTATTCAATGCAAACACACAAGCAAAACACACATTCAAATGCAAGTAAATAAACTTGAGTTGCGTCCCAAGAAGCGCTATTTTTAACGTCGTGCGCCCGACATTTCCTGAGTGGTTTACTCATAAGGAGGATCATCCAGTCCAACAATGAGTTTCTCCTTTGTGTCGTCTCCTTCATGATATTGCTTAACTCTTTGGCCACTGATAGCAACTTTCCTCCCTTCCTCAGTTTTTTAACTTCCTTTCCCTCGCGAAAGCTTTTACAACTCTCTTTCTTTTTTACACGCTCCACTAACTCTTCATCCTCATGTTTTTTTTCGACTTCCTCCACAACACAAAACTCCATAGGATCCTTGTGAAAGATTCCCGTGAAGTCTCTCACAGATTCATCAACTATATCAACCCTCCAACAATTTTCCACACATGCAGGATTTTTCGCCGTTTGGAAAATATTAAACTAAACCTTTTCATCCCCCACTTCAATTTTTAATGTACCCTTTTTAACATCAATGATGGCACCGGAAGTGGCCAAGAAAGGCCTTCCCAATATGACAGGTACTCGCCCATCCTCATCCATGTCTAGGACGACAAAGTCACAAGGGATGAAATATTTCCCAACTTGTATAGGAATGTCTTCAAGAATACCAACAGGGTGCTTAACAGATCGGTCAGCAAGCTGAATGGTCATCGAAGTAGCCTTGGGAATACGAAAACTAAGTCACTTGCTAATAGAATAAGGGATAAGGCTAACACTAGCCCCAAGGTCACACAAAGCTTTGTTAACCATAAACCCTCCAATTATGCATGGTATAGTAAAGCTACCTGGATCCTTCAATTTTTCTGGAAGTTTCTTTTGAATGATAGCATTGGATCCCTCGCTCATGGCCACTGTAGCTTTCTCCTCTAATTTCTTCTTGTTTGATAGAATTTCCTTCAGAAATTTGGAATATGAAGGCATATGTTTCAGAGCATCAAGAAGTGGAATTGTTGTGTTAAGCTGTCCGATCCATTTAAGGAATTTATCCCCCCTCTCATCAGTTGTGTTTTTCTTTGCTCTGTGAGGAATGGTAAAGGTGGAACATATGGTTGCACTGCCTTTTTCTTGCCTGGAGAATTGAGTTCTTCTTCATTACTCTCCTTTGGTGGTGAACTCTCTTTTTCAGTTGTCTTTTCTTTTTCAACTACAAGTGGTGGATCAGAAAGTTGTTTTCCCCTCCTTGTAGTGACTGCATTGACATTCTCACTGGGATGTTCAGAGTAGGCAGGCAATTTGCCTTGAGCTTTGCTAGTAGATGGTGAAGCAAAACTAGCTATTTGGCTCTCAAGCATTTTGTTGTGAGCTTGAATTTGGTTGAGTTGGGTGGTGAGTTGAGAGAATTGATTAGTGATACCTTGCATCATTCTATGGAAGTCATTAACTCCAACAAATTGTTGTTGTTGTTGAGGTGGTGGTGGTGGTAATTGCTGTTGCGGTGGGCACCCTTGTTGATTTTGAAATCCAGGAGGTGTTGGTTTGGATGAAAAAGATGAATTTGCCGCACCTGATGAATTACTCCATGAAAATCCTGGATGTGTCCTCCCTTGAGGATTATAGTTCCCTTGATATGGTACTTGAGGTCTACCATATATAGCATCAGCTTGTTCTACTGTGGAGCCAGAAGGATTATTTCGTGTAAGTTCAAGAAGATTGCATTCCTTAAAAGAATGTCCTCCTCCACAGAGTTCACAGAACAAAACTTGAGCTAAAGATGATGATGGATTTGTTGATGTGCTAGAAGTTGATGATGATTGTTTCTCCGTGAGCTTTTGAACCATGGTTGTGAGAGAATCAACCTTTGCCGTTAAAGCTGTTGTTTGGTCAACCTCATAAATTCCCGCTCCTAGTTTTTGAGTGGATCTTTCAGAATACCATGATGCACTGTTGTTACAAATTTTCTCAAGCATCTCTTTTCCTGTTTTAGGATCAAGCTCCATGAAAGCTCCATAAGCAGAGGCATCCACAACAATTTTGGAATTATCATGTAATCCTTCATAAAATGAGACAATGAGATCACCCATGCTCATACTATGATGTGGATATTGAACTTTTAGGTCTTTAAATCTCTTCCATGATTCGTAAAGAGATTCTGATGGATGTTGCCTAAATTGTTGGATCAATTTCTTCATTTTTGATGCCTTGGAAGGAGGATAGAACTCCTTCATGAATTCACGATTCAACTTCTCCCATGTGTTGAAATAATCGGATGGTTTAGAGTTTAACCAACTCAATGCTTCATCCCTCAGTGAGAATGGGAACAATCTAAGTCTGATAGCATCAACAGAGGCTCCATTAAGCTTAAGAGTTTGGAGAACTCTCAAGAATTGCTTCATGTGGCTCGTGGGATCTTCATTCTTTGATCCGCCAATTTTTTTTGCTGAGACCAATGAGATAAGTGCTGGTTTGATCTCAAAATTTGCTGCATCCACGCCTGGATAAAGAATGCTATCTTGTTCCTCAATTTCACCTGCAACATAATCAAGAAGTCTTCTCCCTTGTTGTTGTTGTCTCATGAATTGCCCTTGATTTTGTTGATTATGTGGGTGTTGGTAGTATTGGTCATATGGGTGAGGTTGATATGGGTGCATAAATGGAGGAGGTGGGTGAGGATATGGGTATGTGTATGGATATGGTGGAGGAGGTTGGTTTTGGTGATTTTCGTAGGGATGTGGTGGATAAAATTGGGATTGTGTTTGGGGAGGAATTTGTTGGAAATTTTCAAATCCTGGCGGTCTTTGATCTCCAAAGAAAGGATTGTGTCCATCTCTTGGAGTATTAATGGGTGTATTTTGTGGTGGCGAAGGATTTGGATAGGAATTAGGTTTTGGCAATTTGGATTATTGGGATTGTTTGAAAATCCTCCATGATTTGATCTGGAATTTTAAGTTCAAGGGTTCGTGCTTTTCTTCTTTTCCTTAAATTTTTTTCAAAATCAAGGTTAAATGGTTGCAATCCTTCACTCCCTTGAGAGCGAGTATGCATACACTTTTTAAGAGTTTTTTTTAGTGCACGAAAAATGATTTTTTTTTTGTTTTTTTTTAGAAAAGTGATGAGAACATGTAAAAAAAATACTTAGTCTCCAGATAAATAATAACAAACACTAATATTAACTAATAATCAATCAACAGCGCCAAAATCGTGACATGCCAAAATGTGTAGTGTGAAATGGTGTAAAAATGTGAATGAAAATGATGTTTTAATTGGCTTGTAACGATATAGTATAGAGTAAGTAAGTATCGTTCCGCTAGAGAATGACTCAAAAAGAGAACTAGAATTAATGATTGATTTTTAGCAAATCACAAATTGATAACATTTTGCAATGGAGCTAAGTGAATAGATTTTTTTTAACTTGTTTTTGTTAATGCGAAATTGCTAGAGAGTAAAATAAATCAGAATACTTGGTAATTTAACAATTAATGATATAGAGAAAATTAGGCTTGGGCTAAGAGTAATTTTATTTTGATGTTCATAATAATAAAGATTTAACTAATTAACTTAGTTACTTTTAGGTGTGTGAAAGATTTACAAATGGTAATCTTCTAATCGTTCCCACGACTTAGTTGATTACACTATCTTAAATTAATTCCGCTCCCGCAGTAATTTTATTAAGACAGTAAAAAGTACAAAATCAAATTATCCTAAATTCCTTAACACTTCCGTGTAGCAATTTAGTGGGTGAATTAACAAAAGTGATTTTAATGAAATTTCACTCCTGTGATAATATTCATTTCCCAATATAATGTATTTAGCAAATTAGAATATTCAACCCAATACTCCTAAAATTAACCAAGTAATAGTTTTAACCATTTATTATCATATGAACATTAACAGTAAAAATTGCATCTTGCCCAAACCTAAACTAGTTTAGTTACACATAATTACAGTAAACGAAATAAAAGTAAAACTAATGATAGGCATAATTAATTTAACAGATTAAAGAAAATAAAATGAGTATTTGAATAAGAACTTGAAGACATAAATAATGAGCTGGAGTAGAGAAAACTGGAATCCTAGTATTAAGCTGGTACTGATCGAACGAACTGATAATCGCAAATGAACTTTAATACCAAATATCACAAGCTAAAACTCTGGAACTGAGAATTACAAACTGAAATCTATACAGAAAGTGTTCTTGATAGAATCACTTTTATTATATGGCTACTAATATAAACTAAAGCTAAAGAAAAGAGAAGAAGGAGATTTCTCTCCGAATTGGTGTGTTCTGCAGCTCACAAATGACTCCTTTATATTGCAGTGGAAGAAGGGGCTAGAGCATCAACAATCCTGAAATGAAGGTGCTGAAAATAATTT